GTGGTTGATCAACTTTTTTTTTCAACGTCAAACTAACTAAATCAAATCACAAGTTGGTTTGCTTCGATTTGGTTTGGTTCACAATTTGGTTCAACTTGACAATTTGACATGTACACACCTTATATAAAAGATATATTGAACTCAAAATATAAGAGAAGAATATATTTCAACCGAAACTCAAACAAGAGATATATTTAAAAAGCTAATACATCTTTCACTTTTTTTTTTGTAATAAAAAAAGTGATAAAAACGATTCATTGTGTGTATAGTTATAGCCTTATAGGTAGTTGTTTTCATATAATTAGTCATAGGTTTCTTGCGTGGCTTATCGCCGCATTTTTTTGTAGTGGATATGCAACGTAATGTTTTTAAAATAAAAGCAACAAAATAAACTTAATTAAAATAAGAAGTTTATAAATAGAAGGATAAAATATTCTATTAATTAACAATAAGAAAGTTTATTGGGAGCTAAAAGTATGCATGAAAGAAAATGTAAAAGCTTCGTAAAATTACTATCTTTCTAACTTTTCCTATTCTAATTTTATCTTTCATGAGCGTTAAACTTTTGAATTTTGATCGTATATTCAATCTTGATTCTTCAATCTTCAACTTCTCATCATATGGACAACATCCCTATTTTAGCCAAAAATGGATACTTTAACTGAAAATCCAATTCATTATTAAATCGAAGTTTCTTGATCCTCTTACTCAACTCGATTTCGGGTTTCTTTAAGGGGACGGTACTACTACGCTTAATACTCATGTAATGCTCTAAGCCGAAGTCGAATTGAGGTCGAGGTAAGGGTTGAGGCCGGAGTAAAGGTCGGGAATAATCGGAGTAGAATATATTTCTCTTATTTCTTCGCCTTTTGCATCCAAAGAACGGATTAAACAAATAGTCGAAACGATTTGGACGATCAATATTGCCGGTTATGGCTTGACGGATTGATATTTCACATTCTTGATTTTTCTTTCCCATTCTTGTTAATTTTGTGGAGATTAGGATGAATAGATTTATTAGGCTATAATTTTAATTTGTGGAGAGGTTTTTGTTGTATTTATAACCGTCATATATTATCCTTATTTGAGTACTAACTACTAGGATAAATTTCCATAAATTTCCTTATTTTTTTCTCCCTCAAGTAATCCTTATTAATATAGGAATTGACTTTCCGTGTGTGGTTAGTACTAAAATTTTGGTTTTATTTTGACTACTAGGATAAATTTCCATATAATTGAGATTTGGTGTAATTGGGTGTTATTAAACTCTTGTAATTACACCCAATTATACCAAATCTCAATTACATTGTAACTAGAAAATATTAGAATAATAAAAATATTTTTTCTAAAAAAATAATAGAAATAAATTAAAACAACAAATACAAATGTAAATAACAAATATTCAACTTGAAAAATTAGGTGTAGTGTTAACGGTAATTTTAGCATGATTTCTAATTTGGGCGTCTTTTTTTTTTAAAAAAAAAATCAAATAGGTTCTAGAAATTTGGCTGATGTAGAAAAATATTTATACTAACGACATAGTCGAATTATCATTCACCACATGGACAATATGATTTTGCAAAATCAGATGGGTTTTGAGTTCACGTATAGTGGCATGTATGAGTTTTTTCTCAAATGAAAATGATATAGATGAGTCAAGCTTTTAACGTATAGCATAAATGAGGCTTTTCTCAAAATCCGATAACATATCTAAGCTTTTTATCATGTGTGTATATATAAATATATTATGTCGGTTTATTTTCTTTTAGCTCAATCTGACTTTGTTGTGTAATTAATTTCAAACCAAACCAATTAAGGGTGGTCGATCAACTTTTTTTTTTTCAACATCAAACTAACTAAATCAAATCACAAGTTGGATTTTTGCTTCAATTTGATTTGATTCACAATTTGGTTCGACTTGATTTGACATGTACACACCTTATAAAAAAATATATTAAACTCAAAATATAAAAAAAGAATATATTTAAATCGAAATTCAAACAAGAGATATATTTAAAAAGCTAATACATCTTTCACTTTTTTTTTCGAAACAAAAAAATGATAAAAACGATTCATTGTGTGTCATAGTTATAGGTGGTTGTTTTCGTATAATTAGCTGTAGGTTTCTCGCGTGGCTTATCGCCGCATTTTTTTAGTGGATGTGCAACGTAATGTTAATTAAAATAAAAACGAAATAAAAGCAACAAAATAAACCTACTTAAAAGAATAAAATTATAAATAGAAGGAGAAAACATTCTGTTAATTAACAATTAGAAAGTTTATTGGGAACTAAAAGTAGCATGAAACAAAATATAAAATCTTCATAGAATTACATCTTCTAACTTTTTCTATTCTAATTTACGTGACATCTTCTTTTGTGACCGTCGAACTTTTGAATTTTAATCGTGAATTTGAACCTCGAATTTTCAACTTTTCATCATATGGAAAACATCCCTATTTCAGCCAAAAAAGGATACTTTGATTGAAAATCCGATTCATTATTAAATCGGAATTTCTTGATCCTCTTACTCGGCTCGATTTCAGATTTCTTTAATGGGACAGTACTACGAAGCTTAATACTCATGTAATGCTCTAAGCCGAAGTCGAATTGAGGTCGAGGTAATGGTTGAGGCCGGAGTAAAGATTGAGAATGATTGGCATAAAAAATATTTCTTTTATTTCTTTGTTTTTTGCAGGTAAAGAACAAATTAAAACAATAGTCGTAACGATTTGGACGATCAATGCCGCCGATTATGGCTTGACGAATTGATATTTCATCACATTCTTGGTTTTTCTTTCCCATTCTTGTTAATTTCGTGGAGATTAGGATGAATAGATTTATTAGGCTTTAATTTTAATTTGTGGAGAGGTTTTTGTTGTATTTATAACCGTCATATATTATCCTAGTTTGAGTACTACTAGGATAACTTTCCATAAATTTCCTTAATTGTTTCTTCCTAAAGTAATCCTTGTTGATATAGGATTAGAAATTGACTTTCCGTGTGTAGCTAGTACTAGTATTAAAATTTTGGTTTTATTTTGATTACTAGTTATAAAATAAAAAAGTTTGTGTTTAGAGTCTAGGTAATGCTTTGATATTTTCTGAATTAATGGCCTGTTTGGAAAGCCATAACATAATTGAGATTTGGTATAACTGAGTATCATTACGCTGTTGCAATTAGATTGTGACTAGAAAATATTAGAATAATAAAAATAAAAAATAAATTAAAACAACAAATACAAATATAAATAAAAGAAAGAAATTAAAATAATTTAATAAAATTCATGTTACTTGATATAATTACACCAATTCCTAACTCTCCCTTGGAAATTGAGGAAGGTAATTATTACCCTTCAATTACATCTAATTTCTCTCTTGCTAAGTAATTACTTAGTCTACCAAACATGTCAAATACCGTAACTACACCAATTTCTAACCCTTCTTCGGGAATTGAGGAGTGTAATTACTATCCTTCAGTTACATTCAATTTCTCTCTTGTTAAGTCCTCTTTCTCTAATTACTTGTCCACTTTTTATTTTTTAGTTGTTTCTAATTATTTGTCCATTTTGATAAATCAAGAAAAGACAATTTTTTGTTGTTGATTATACCCTCAATTAATTACTTTGAGAAATATTGAACTTTTTGAAAACCTTAAGTTTTTAATTTATCCATATCATAAATAATAGGGTAAAATGGTAAACTCACTATGTCAATAATTATTTTCTTAATAGGTGTGTCAATTCAAAAGTGGACAAGTAATGAATTGAGGAGTGTAATTACTATCCTTCAGTTACATTCAATTTCTCTCTTGTTAAGTCCTCTTTCTCTAATTACTTGTCCACTTTTTATTTTTTAGTTGTTTCTAATTATTTGTCCATTTTGATAAATCAAGAAAAGACAATTTTTTGTTGTTGATTATACCCTCAATTAATTACTTTGAGAAATATTGAACTTTTTGAAAACCTTAAGTTTTTAATTTATCCATATCATAAATAATAGGGTAAAATGGTAAACTCACTATGTCAATAATTATTTTCTTAATAGGTGTGTCAATTCAAAAATGGACAAATAATTAAGCACATAGAGTAATTACCTTGGTCTACAAATATATCAAACAATAATTACACCTGATTACATCAAATTCCAAATAATATTATGACTTTTCAAATATATTTTAAATTGAGTGACTTTCTAAATAACTAACATTGAGCGAGTGAGATATTATCTAAACACATAGCACTTTTGGGTGCCATGAAAATTCCTCCAAAAAAGCCTCATTTTTTCAAACCCCTTCAGCCAGGTTTCAAGAATGGTCTTGTGAGTAATCCTTTCTCTTTTTCTTTTTTAAATATTTCCTTTAATTACTTTATGTTGCATCTGTGGATTCATGATTTTCACTAAGTTAGTATGAAATTTATTTGGGGCAAATAGTACTATAGTATTTATTTAATTAGGGCAAGTTTATGTTGTACTGTAGAAAATTCCTATAGGTTTCTTGAAGTATCTAAAGGGAAATGACCAGATTGAACATGCAATACTGAGAAGAGATGGTAACAAGTGGCCTACGAAGGTGAATGACCCACGATCCGAAGCGGGTTGGGCTGAATTTGTACAACAATATGATTTGCAATTGGGAGATATATTGATGTTTAGACATGAAGGAAACATGGAATTTGAAGTTTCCATATTTGATTCAACTCATTGTGACAGAGAATATGCAGAGTATATGCAGGAAGGAGGAGGAGGAGGAGGTGCCCATACAGGTGAAGATAATCGCTCTTGTTGTTGATGTTACAGTTCTTTATTGTTTATTATGTTTAGGTGATCGCACTTGTTGTTGATGTTACAGCTACATTTATGCTCTGCAGTACTTTATTATGATCAGTTGTCATGTTTTTCTTTACTGTCGTTTTTTTTTCATTACTACTTTGATTTGTTTTACTTGAGTTGAGAGTCTTTCGGAAATAAGATATCTATCTCCAAGAAATAAAAGTAAGATTTGCGTACACTTTACCCTCCCCAGACCCACATTGTGGGATTTGTTGTTGTTGTTGTTGTTGTGAAGGTATTTTCTTTAGAGTCCATTGATTTATACTTGATGATTTTTGCAAGTTGATTCCCTTAAATCTTAGCATAAGTCTCAACTTGTTTATGTTACAAAATTATTTAAATGTTGCTAATTTTCTCAAGTACAATTGTCATGTTTAATTTCCAGAGGATGCAACAGAAAGACCGATGATGCGCATGATCAAATCGTCAACAAAGGCTTCTTCCCCTGTAAAAACTGCTACTCATCACAAGTCTTTTGGTCATTTTGAATGCATTATTAGAGAATATTGCATTCGCCGAGGCTATTTGGTAAGTTTTAAAACTCATTATTTCTTGCAAACTCTTCAAGTGAATGTGTTTCACAATCAGGTCACTTATTAGATAATTACAAGTAAATCTCTATGATAAGCTAGACTGGCATTATAAAAATGTTTACATTGTCAATGTATGTAAACTAAATTCCTTTTGATATTTTTTTCTTTGTAAAATGATTATACACCATGTCAGTACCTTCCTCGACGTTTCGCAATTGCAAATGGTCTCATCAATAAGAAGTGTGATTTGATTATAAGAGATGAAAGACAAAGGTTGTGGAATTTTAAGTTAAGTTCTTCTATAACTCAAACCTATATTATTGGATGTGGATGGACCAAATTCTTTGCTGATAATTGCTTAAGGAAAGGAGATCGCATAATGTTTGAGGTCGTTACTAATGGAGAGACACCAATATGGAAATTTCAAGTTACTAATCGAGAAGCTCCATTGCTGAAGTTTCAAGGCATGTTTATTCTCATCGAACCAATATCTTATTTCTTTGATGATCTTTATTCATTGTCATATTTGTGTATTATTCTGCGGTGTTTATATAAGTATACGTCTTGGATTACCTTTTATATGTTACCTAAAGTGTGTAAACTATCTTCTTTCACCCTTTTCACCTAATACAAACTCTAAAGTGCAGACTCAAAACAGAATGCAGCTTGAAAACTGTAAAGGCCTGTTATACTGAAAATTACTATTCGAAGTCATCTGATCATTGATATGGGGGAGTGATAGTTAAAATTTTAATAGAGTGACATTCTCAGTGAGGATTTATCATTCATATACCAGACCACAATTTGTATTTGGATTAAGGCATAGTAGTAGTTGTTGTTTGTTATTCTGTTTTTCTTAATAGAATGACATCCTCAGTGAGCATTCATATATATATCGGACCAAAATTTGGGTTTGGATTAAGGCATAGTAGTAGTTGTTGTTGTTATTCTGTTTTTCTTAATAGAGCGACATCCTCAGTGAGCATCCATATATATATATATATATATATATATATATATCGGACCACAATTTGAGTTTGGATTAAGGCATAGTAGCAGTTGCTGAGCCAGGTAGGGTGAAGGGAGTTCATCGGCACTGTTTATACATGGTTAGTTTTTATTTTTTTTATGTATATATAGTAGATGTTGAACCCCCCTTGACTTCTTTGCGTTTTACTTTTCATATTTTGAACTTCTGTAATGAAAATTCTGGCTACGCCACTACATATTAGTAGGTCTTATTCTCTTTTACTATGTATTTTTCTTCATAAGCAGACAATATTATGGAACAGCCCTCAAACATGAGTCTTCTCAATGCACAAGTAGTTACTTCAAATTCTGGTGATGAGCATCATCCTTGCTTTATTTCAACCATTAAATCTTATTGCTTCACAGAGGCAGTTTTGGTAAGTTATTTCAACTGATTTTAGTTAACGATTAAGTTAATTATATACAATAATGTAGGCAACTTAACCTGATGGTGTAAGAAGTTGTACACTGTTGAGTGTACATAGGACTTGAACTCTTTTTGTTCTAGTCCTTTTTTTGTTTCTTTAGACAATGGTAACTTAATCGACTCGATTGAATAAATTTTATGGTAGTGTCTTCCATTGGATTTTGCAAAGTCAAATGGATTGATGAATAAAAACTGTGAGATGGTTCTGAAAAACGAAGCACAGAGATGCTGGTTGGTTTGGCTCAGGAGAGCTGGACGTTATTTTGGAATTATATGCGGATGGACAAAATTCAGAGATGAAAATAGACTCCGGATTGGAGATGCTTACAAGTTTGAACTCGTCAACAATGGGGAAATACCTATAGCACAATTCCATTGCAAGTGTTCTTTTAGTTCTAATGTACTTTTGTCAAGTTTAAGTTCTATGCTCCAACAGATCGTATTTTAGTTGTATGATTTCTATATAATATTTCTCATAATCGTGTAGATATATTGCAAATAGTTCATTTCAATGGTCTTTACATGATTTGTTAGGGGTCGTTTGGTGTGAGGGATATAAATAAATAGTGATGGGATAAAGTTTTTGTATCTTGGTTGCCATGTTTGGGACAAATTATCCTACCATTTATATCATAGTGATGTGATAAGTTATTTCGTATATATGGTGGGATAAGTTATCCCAGGATAGCTAACCCTAGAATAACTTATCCTGGGATAACTTGTTCCCAAGGGGTCGTTTGGTGTGAGGGATAATACCAAATAGTCCCGGGATTAAATTATAGTACCGCTTATTTTGTTGTTTGGTTGGCAAGTTTGGGATAACTTATCCCGGGATTAATAATTAGCATCGGGATAAGTTATCCCTAACCTAGGGTGGTATAGTAATCCCGGGATAAAATAGGTAAATGACAAAAATGTCTCTTTCAACCCTTTTGTTATATCACTTTTTACATTAATGAAGGGCATTTTTGTAAACAAATAAATTGTTCTTAAAATTTTAATGAAGGGAATTTTTGTAAACAAATAAATTGTTTTTAAAATTTATTATTTTGAATACAACAAACCAAACACTCAATAAAAAATAATTTCAACACAACTTATCCCATCATAACTAATCCCAACATAACTTATCCCAACATAACTTATTCCATCATAACTCATTTTCAAACAAAACGACCCCTTATAGTTTGGTAATTGTATAACATCACAAATAACCACATGCCATAATAATAACAAAATATTGCTTGTAAATCAATGATTAAAACGATATATAATGAAAAAAAATCATCTAATTTGGTGCTATTATTTTAAAATTGAATAGACATTTCTAAAATTTTCCTTTTTACATTTTAATTCAATTTTTTGTTTATACTTCAATATTTTCTCACACACAAGTTTATTACTAAAAGGCAATAAAAAAGTAGAGTAACATGAATAAACCATGACAATAAATGACATTACACATTTATCAATACTATATTATACATTAATAATACCATAACAATTAAGATTTTCAATTGCACATATTTAACAGAATTTTCCAAGTCAATTTCTACTAATCGAAGCACGATCCGTACTGTTCATCCGTGGAAAAAAGTCTGAAAGTCATTTTTTGGGTCTAATTTCTACAGACCCATCTACGGGCCGTAGAAGCATCTACGAGTCGTAGTTTGGGCCCGTAGAATGAAGTTTTAGATTCTATTTTTGGGCCTGACTTTCACGGATGAGATCTACGGTCCGTAGATTAAACTACGGATCGTAAATGGCCCATGAAAGGTTTTTGACGGCTTTTTAATTGAGGTTTCTTTTGTCTTTTCTCACTTTTCCTAAGTCTAATCCACGACATTAAACATATTCAAAAATGTTTTTCACGCTTAAGACTCCATTCTTACACTCTTAACTCCCTTAAACTCAGAAACTAGCGTAAGCAAGACAGAAGGTAGAGTTTCAAGTCTTTCAAGCAAGTTCTTCTTTCAAATCTCAATCTCTGCGAGCAATGGCGGAGCCAGAATTTCAACTGAGTGTCAAAATATAAAGAAGTTAAATTGTGTAGAAGTCGATAAGTGTCAATATGTAATAAATATACATAAAAAATATATTTTTATCTAGTTATGCAGTATAATTTTCCGACGAAGAGGTGTCGGTCGACACCCCTCAATTGTATGTGGCTCTGCCCAGTGGCGGAGCCACCTTACAATTAGGGGTTCATCCGAACCCCCTTCGACCGAAAATTCTATGATTTATACATGGTTAAAATAATTTTTTAGGTATACATAGTAGATGTCGAACCCCCTTCGGCTACTTCGTGTGTCTATTTATTCAGATTTAACCCCCTTATTGAAAATCCTGGCTCCGCCACTGGCTCTGCCACTATCTGCAAGTATGTAAGACTTCAATGAGAGTATCCCTTCACTTGCCTAAGTATTTTGATTTTCAAGAACTCTTCAAGATTTTTAGAAGCAAAGCTAGGGCTTTTATGAACTTATCATATTCTTCATTAAATCATATTTTCATCGTTACACTTAGATTTCAAAAATATTACTGTATTGATTTAGCATGATTTTCATGGTTCCTTAAAACATTTATGACTTTGAGTATGAAGACTAGTATGATATGAATTTCAACCTAAATTCAGGTTACTTTAGATATGACTTTTGAGCTTAGTCTCATATATGATTCAAACAGATAAATCATTTTCATATCTATGAGCATTATATGAATATATGTCGTTTTGAGAAAACTATTTAGTACCGAGAGGGTGAAGTTTAGAAAATTCAAGTCTCATAACTATGTGCTACCGTATGATTATGTTTTATCGCCTTGTCGATTGACCTTTTAGCCCTGAGATGATTAGACTAGTGGATCCACATAGATATGATATGGTCAATATAGGGCAGCCCTCCCAACTAGATTAGCTAATGGACGTCAGGAGCTCACATGATGTATGTCGATTATAAGAAACTTCTCAGTTTATGCATTTTCTTACGATATACTTTTAACTCCATTTGATTCACTTAAGGCATGTTATTTACAAGTATGATTATGCAAGGCTATTGAAATAGACTCATTTCTATATATGCTTCTGAAGGAAGATTGTGAACGGTTTTTAGACATGAACTCCAACTATTTTCTCCTTAGTTCTTTCACTATGTATATGATTTTGGGAACGTTATTTTACTATCCTCGTTATGTCATTTTACGATTATGGTAGTGCCCCTTACTTACTCCGTACATCCATGTACTGATGCATACTTTTCTCTGCACTGCATACTTTTATGATGTAGATTTTGGTGCTCATATTCAGACTCGTGGCTAGTAAGGTTGCAATAGTTCCAGTCAGCAGTTGGCGAGTCTTCCGCATTAGGGGACATCCTAGATTAGTTGTTAGTCAAAATTTAGTACTTTCTTTGTTATTTGGTTTGAGGTAACTAGGGTCATGTCCCGGTAAACTTATTTCCTTCAGTCTAAATGATAAATACTTATTTTAGAACTTAGTTGTTCAGTCATGATGAATTTGTTGATTTCCTTATTAAGACTTATTAACCATATGTTTCAGCTTCCGCATTAGTTTCATATCATATGCTTTGATATGTTATGCCGAGGGTTAACTTGGGGCCACTCGTGGTTTCGAGTATTGTGTCTCGACTGGTGTGTAGACGCAGATCATGACATTTAGATTTTACGTCCCTTAAGAAACTACTCCCTCCATTTCAAAATAAGTAATTTGTTTAGGCAATGCACACTCATTAAGAAAAACAAGTTTAGGACATAAAATAAACTATTTTCCACTTTTTCCCTTTTAGATATTCTCAAACTATTCTTGAAAATATAAATAATTCAAAGTAAAATCATAAATATGAGTCATTAACTCTCTTGAAATTATCACCTAAAAGATATAAATGAGGGGGGAAATGGAAAAGGTTCCAACAACTCTCTTGAACTTTGAACAATTCAGTTATTTTGAACTACGAAAAAAGACTCAACAATTGATCACTTATTTTGAAATGGATGGAGTATGTAAGTTTACCGTTACACCGTATTTTAGTATTCTCTTGAAGTCAAGTTTCAATAAATGAACATGCATTAATTTATTTTGATTAATTAAATTGACCAATGAACATAAATTAATCATTTAGTTTTTCGATGTTGGTCAAATTTATACTCTCAAGGGTAAAATAGGAAGAATAATGTCATTTATGCATTGATATTGTGAAAAGACAAACTCCCTATGTCCAACAATAATATATGTCCACTATTCACGTTGCTCACTTCTTAAGAAACTATAAATAGAAGGATAATTTTATTATATCACCCTTTGAATATAATAAATACAATGTCTTGAAAAATATAATAGAAAAATGACTATAATTAATGATAAGGGTAAATTAAGAACTAAGTGTAAAATATCCATTGATTTCCTAAAGTAAACAATTATTGTTGGATATCCCAAAATAGTACAAGGGACAACTATTGTTGGACGAAGAAAATATTAAAGACCATCTATTTTTAGTAAGAACGACATATAAATAAAAAATGGAGGGAGTAATTTTATTTGCGTTCTCCACTTAATTCTTGCGTTATGGAAAGTTATTCTTACTATTTTGGTTGTTAGGAAGTTTGATTTTCTTTGGGATAAGACACAATTATCCCCCTAGACTATGACCGAAATTTCAGAGACGCACCTTAACTAAACTAAGGTCCTATTACCCCTTGAACTTATTGTTTTTTGTAATTTTATACACCTTTTGTCTTACTTGGCACATTCCGTGACTCCATGCAATTGAGGTGCGTGAGAGATATTTGGATGCCACGTAAGCCCAAAAGGTGCACAAAATTACAAAAAAAAATGGGTTAGAGGGTAATAGGACCTTAGTTTAGTTAAGGTGTGTCTCTATGACTTCGGTCATAATCTAGGGGGTACTTCTAACATTTTCCATTTTCTTTTGTTTACTTATGAAGAGTTTTGGCACAGCTTATTGTAAGACTTTCATTTATTTCTTCATTTTTGCTTTGTGAAGTAGTATTGAGATTCTTCTTTTCCGTTCCGTCATTCTTTTCTTTTATTTGTCTAATATCTTTGAGGATCGTTTGTTAGGTGCGAGGGGATTATTTATAACTTTGAGAGTTAAACAGTTTAAGTTTGAGTACAAATTTAGGTATGAAATTTTCCAAAAAAAATTTAAAATAAAATCTATATATTTAAAAACTACATAAAAAATATTATAACGCATAACTAATAATAAGTCACAAGTCATCTCACTTCGTGAATAAATATTAGGCCAGTGTTGTAACTAATATATATAGATAGATAGGTTTTTCGCGTGGCTTATCACCACATTTTTTTATAGTGGATGTGCAACATAATGTTTTTAAAATAAAAACGAAAATAAAAGCAACAAAATAAACCTACTTAAAAGAATAAGTTATAACTTAAAGGACAAAACTATTAATTAACAATAAGAAAGTTTATTGGGAATGTCGAATTTAGTAGGATAACCTGTCTAGTTTATTTTTATTAGACTCTGAATAATTTTTGAAGGTCCATTCAGAGGCATTTTTCCTTATGTTGAGTTGCTGATTTTTCAGTTTCTGGTGCATGTCATTTTGACCTTCGCTATTGCTACCCTTAGGCTCGCAATCACGATGTATCTTCTTTGTGGCCTTCGCAATCGCGATGAAGCCCTTTCCTTAGCCTTCACAGTCACGATGTGAACCTCCGTGCTCTTCGCGATCGCGAGAGTTAGTGGCTCGTGATCACGATGACCATTTTTCACCTGGACAGAACCTAATCTTTTCATTTTTCTCATTTCCACCATTTTGAATCTTTTGAGGCTTTGATGAAGCGATTCTTGGGAGCATTTTTGTGAAAACACGGGTGGGTAAGATTTCCCTACCAATCGTTTGTTGGTTTCATCAATTTTTATCTTCCAAAACACCTTTAAATCATGATTTCAGTATGGATTTAAGGGGGTTTTCCCCTAAGTTGGAAAATTGATATTTTTATGAATTGAAACTCGTTTCTTGGTCTATTGTAATGGATTTTTCAACCACGAATTCCTCGTCTTTTAGAGCTTGTTTTTCAACTAATGTAACATCTCGCAACTAGAAAGAAATAGAAGGAAGTTTAAAATCTGGAAATAGTTATTTTTGGAAAGTATAAGGAAATCTGGAAAATTGCAAGTAATTTAAAATTTAGTTTTTGGTCGACTTCAATCGGCCATAACTCCTAAATCAGGATGAGTTAGGTGTAGTTCCAGATATGGTTGGAAAGCTCTTGGAACGGTCTTTCCAACGCCGCCAAGTTTGCGCGATTCCGAGTTCGTATGAGTGAGTTATGCCCTTTGGAAGTTGGATTGTTGGGATTAAGGAAATGTCCAATCCGGAATTTTAAGGGGTGTTTTAGTCTTTTCATTGCCCTATTATTTTAATCCATTTTTAGGAGTTTAATATGGGTCAAATTAAATTTTAGTCAGTTTTAGAATTTGGGATTTCATGCTAGGGCTAAGGAGAAAGGAGAAGAGAAAAGAAGAAGGAGAAAAGGGCAAATTCATCAAGATCGATAAAGGAAGTTGGTGTTTCGCCAAGGATTTGCTTCTATCAGGTATGTGAGGCTCTCATAACGTTGGAATCATTCTCCCACGTGCCAAGCATATTTATTTAAGTCTGGATTCGTCCTAAAAGCATATGAATATTGATGATCTTGATACCTATTCTTGAATTCATATATTGTTCTTGAATTTGACTGAGTTGGGAAGTTTCTGAGTTCGTTACGTCGCATTATAGGGTCGTTTCGAGTTAGGTTCTTAGGTACATTTACTGGGTATCTGTATCTAAAAGTAATCTGGAAAAAAAAAAATCGAGTTTGGGTGATTTGGGGTTGGAAAATGAAAAAGAAATTTCGTCGGACGAAATAAATGGGTGGTCGCGCGTCGCGCGCCTAGTTCCCAGATTTGAACATTTCAGCTTCGCATCGCGGAGCTGACACGAGGTGTTCTGCCTCAAAAGACATTTTCGAAACCAAAATTTAATTATGCCTCCGCGTGGCGGACCCACCTTCAAATCTTGAGTTTCGATCTTTTCTCATGTTTAGCTATCTAAAATCATTCCTAAACAACATGAGATCTTTCCAATCACAAATCTTAATCCTTGAATCCATAATTCAATTCAAGGATCAGTTAAGAGTCAAGTCAAGAGCAGTTAAGATCAAAGTCAAGAGAAGCCAAAAGTCAAGTAAGAGAAGTTCATTTCAAGTTTTCATAAGTCATTTTCAAACGTTTTAACTTTGTTTTAAGACTTAAGTTTTGAGTTCAGTAAAGAGTAATGTTGAAGTACTTTTCTTCAAAGAAACATATGGGGACTAAGTATTTCCCAAAGAGACTTAAAATGTTTTACACATTTAAATAAGAGTGGAAACTGAGATTTCCAAAGGGCCTTCGGGATAGTTTTCAGAAAAGAGTAATAGCTTTCTAAATGAAGGAAGCAGGGAAACTGAGATTTCCAAGATAGCATTTGAGATAAGTTTTTGAGCACTAATTAGGGCTGGGCATAATTTGGTCGAAATTGAAAAAACTGACCGAACTGATTTTTTTTAAATTTCGGTTTCGATTTTTCGGTTAAATCGGTCGGTTTCGATTTTCAATTTTAAAATTTTGGTAATTCGGTTCGGTTTTTGGTTTTTAAGTTTTTTATTTCGGTTAACCAAAAAACTGAATTTATGTAATACATATTTACTACATATATATTTTTAAGAGTTAACTGTTAAGTAACATAACTAAAAGCCCAACCCAACTAAGCCCAATAGCCCATTATATCCCTTAATCCCTAATTCACAATTCACATTTCAATTTTCACACCAAACTAAGTTCTGCCTTCTGCGCGAGTGAAGAGTGAAGAACAGCCGCAAGTCCACGACTGCGCGAGGCGGCGAGCTCAGCCATCGACCTGAAGAGTAAGTTTCTTGGCCGCGATTCTCCATTATACTTTATACATATTAGTTTGTTGCGATTCTCACTGATTTTCGTATGGATTCTAAGTTCTCACATCTTTTCTTCTTCTTTTTCGCAGATGACAGAAATCGAAAGTAAGATAAGTGAAAGTGGGGCTTCAAATGAAACCATACATAATACTTCATCTCCAAATGAATTTGAAGCTGACATTGAAGCTTCAAAGAAAAGAAAAGCCATGGAACCTAGGGCTGCTTGTTGGAAGCATTTTGAGTAATTCATCGATAAAGATGGAGCTACTAAAGAAAAATGTAATTATTGTGGAAAAACGTATGTTGCTGCTACAAAAGGTAATGGTACTTCGGCTATGAATAACCATATGACTAACAAAAAGTGTCCTAACTTTCCCTCTACCAAAGATTATGGTCAGAAATTAATAAATTTTTACCATCTTCAACGGGAGCAAAGGAAGGGGTGATTAGCACTTGGAAATTTGATCAAGCACAAAGTAGAAGAGCTTTAGCTCAAATGATAATTATTGACAAGTTGCCATTTAGTATTGTTGAGAAGGAAGATTTTAGGAATTTCATGAAAGTTACAGTGCCACAATTTCATATTCCTTCTCGTAGAACTTTGACAAGAGATTGTTATGAACTTTACGGTGAAGAAAAAAAACTCTTGAAGAAGTCTTTCAAAGAAGCACGTCCAAAAGTTTGTCTTACGACAGATACTTGGACGTTTATTCAAAGAATCAACTACTTGTGTCTAATAGCCCACTTTATAGATAGAAATTGGACTTTGCATAAACGAATTATAAATTTTTTTCCTATTTCTAGTCATAAAGGTGATGATATGGCAGCTTCCATTACTAATTGTTTGCTTGATTGGGGTTTGGATAATGTGTTGACCATAACAGTTGATAATGCTAATTCCAACAGTGTTACTGTTAAAGAAATATCGAAGCAACTGACTAATTGGGGAACCAACATAATGGAGGGTCAACATCTTCATGTGAGGTGTATGACGCATATTCTTAATCTTATTGTGCAAGATGGATTGAAGGAAGTTGGTCAGTCAGTCAAGCGAATGAGACAAGCCGTGAAATACATTAGACAATCTCTTGCAAGAATTAAAAAATTTAAAGAATGTTATGAATCTCAATTGATAACTTGTAAGAAATCATTATCTTTAGATGTTCCTACTAGGTGGAACTCTACATACTTGATGTTTGATACTGCACAACTTTTTGAACTTGCATTTGAAAGATATAGTTTTTATGATATTGGGTTTCTTGATTATCTCCGTACCCATGATTGTAAAGATGGAACTAAAGCAGGTGTCCTCATTAGTGTTGATTGGAAAAATGTGAGGTCAATGATTAAGTTTCTTGAAACTTTTATACACTTACTTTGAAGGTCTCTGGTTCAAAGTATGTTACAAATAATGTGCACTTTGTGGAAATTGTTGAGCTTGATCTTATTTTGAAAGAGATGACAGAAAATGAAGATTCTAATTTGAAAAAATGGCAGAAAGTATGAGAGACAAATTCAGAAAATATTGGGGTGAACCAAATAACATGAACAAAATGATTTTTATATCAGTTGTGTTGGATCCTCGAAACAAGCTTGATTATGTTCGTTTTGCAATTGGTGATATGTCTGGAAAAACAATTGGGGAGCCACTTGCTGATGCAATGGATAAATATATGAAAGCTTTGTTTGATCATTATGTTAAGAAATCATCAAAAGTCTCTTTATTTTCATCATCTTCGCCTACTTCATCTGGGAACTCATCGAGTATATCTAGTGTGAGTGGTGATGACATCTTTCAAAAAAGAGGATCAATGAGAACGAAACTAGAATTTGTGAGGCATAAAGTAGTTAGTGGAAGTTCAAGTAGTAAATCCGAGTTGGGTAGATATCTTGCTGAAGATGTTGAGCCAGAGACTGATGATTTTGATATATTAAAGTGGTGGAAATTTAATGAGCCAAGATTTCCTATTCTTTCTGAGATGGCTCGTGATGTATTAGCCATTCCTAATTCAATTGTCGCATCTGAATGCGCATTTAGCACATGAGGTCGCATTCTTGATCCTTTTAGGAGTTCATTGACTCCTAAACTAGTGCAAGCTCTTATTTCTCTTCAAGATTGGTATAGAAGTGAACCAATTCCAATAAATGTTGAGGAAGATCTAGAGTATCTTGAGCTACTTGAACTTGGTAAGAATTTAATATTTTGTGCTCATTATATCAAAAATAATTTCTTATTTATGTTGCTTATATCTAACAAGTTCTTTCATGTTTTTGTAGATATGGCTCATAGTGGAATTGAATCTAGTATGTGGGTGTGTAGTTATAACTATCAAGCAGTAAGTAAAATTTAATTTAAAATCTTTTTCTATTAGCATTCAACACTTGTTTTCCTCTTTTTTTTCGTTGAGTTGAGTTTACTTTCTATCATATATCTAAAGAGTTTCATTTTCTCTCAGGCATATTTATAGTTTGGATGTTATTATGGTGAACTGATCGAGTTGGACTGCAGTGTTGTTGTTGGACTACAGACTGCAATGTTGTTGTTGAATTGTAGACTGCAGTGTTGTTGTTGGACTGCAATGAAATACACACAAGGAATGCCAACTTTCTTCTGATAAAGTTGGACTACAGTGTTGTTGCCGATTCTTATTTTGTCTTGTTGGTTCTTGTTTTGACTACTAATTATTATTTTGTATTGCTGGACTGCTGGTTCTTGTTTTGTACTGTTATTGATGTCTAATACTCTTGGTTTCTTAACTTTTTGTTGCAATCTTGAACTTGAAGTGCCACTTTGTAATTTTGCTTTTGAATAGTAAATTAGTGATTAGTGTTTCATCATTCATGTATGTGTTAATGTCTTAATGATATTCAATTATATTCTTCCCAGTTCCCACAGGCATTAAGCACTAGTGCAACGTGCACTTAGATTTTGCACTTAGTATGTGTGCAAGATAGTCACTTATTAAGTGCACATCAATAATTGATTGATTGGCCATACAAAGTGCACATAATTTGTAGGTAGCGTAGGTAGTGTACACTTACCTAGTAGGTAGGAAAAACATTATCTGCTTATTAGTAATGTACACTTACTTTGATTAAGGATAGCGTAGGTAGTACAGTAGTAGACACTGATATGTAGTGTGTATGTGTTAGTGTGTTACTGATCAGTGTTTCATGTATTTGTTGATGATATTCGAACCGAAAAAATTAACCGAACTGAACCGAACCGAAATTGTAAAACCGAACTGAATCGAATTTATTTCAGTTCAGTTTCAGTTTGTATTTTTTTCAAACCGAAATCCAAAAAACCGAACCGAACAAACCGAATGCCCAGCCCTAGCACTAATATCAAATCACAGAAGAAGTATGTTTTTTTTTAAACATAAAAGCTAGTATATTTTGGGAGTAGTATTGAGCACCGAATTAGGGACGAACATGAGTTCAGATAACTTACGTCACCATAAAACCATGTAGCCACCATGGGTAGAAAAGGGTCATACTTTTTAGATGAATCCTTTTCGAAATAGACTAGTGGATCCATTAGGCAGTTCAGGTCCTATACCTTTGGCTGGGTATAGGATGCGCTGGCAGCGTGAGGTAGATCGTTGTATCATCACTATAGCTCTTATGTGATGGTTATCGGTTAGAGAAACTCCCACTGAAGTTATTGTATTTTTTTATACATCAGTTTATTATATTTTTACATACATCTCAGAGTAATATGTATCTTTGCATACACACAGAGTTGACATTATGTTTTAAACAACTTTTCTTTATATTGCACTTGTTTTAAATTGCTTTATATTGAAATGAGTTTAGTTATGTTGAGTTAAGCTGAGCCAGGTAAGTTCTTCAGTTTCTTTCATATCTTTTTCAAGCTTATGTTGTTTTAGCATTCCAACTCGCATACTCGTACATTCAATGTACTGATGCCAGTTGGCATGCATCATCTTATGATGTAGACACAGGTAACTAGGATCTGCATTCAGCGCACGGTTGATCCAGTGAGCAGTTCAGAGTCAGTCGGTGAGCCTCCTTGCATTCCGGAGGATCTATTTTCACTGCTTTCTAGTTTAGTTCATTAGGATGTTGTGGGGGGTTTTCCCAACATCCATCTCAGTTATTTTAGAGGCTTCATAGACAGACAATCAGTTAGTTATTTCAGTTGTCTTTACTTTTCATTTCTTATGTTAAAGACTTGAGTTTGTCTAAATTGCCAGTTGAATATTCCTTTATAACATTCTAGTTTCTTCATAAATGTTTATGTGATGAGTTAAGTCTTCTGCTGAGTTAGTAAGTCAGGCCAAGGGTTCGCTTGGGGCCAGCAATGGTCTTCAAGTGCCAATCCTGCCCAGGGTGTAGGCTCGGGGCAAGTGATTTTTGGACTATTTTATCCCTGATTTCAAGTCCTGTCAATGTGGGTATCATTGGACTCTTCTTGATGAACTCTTTCTATCTTTGATAGTTGAGGATCATTTCGGTGACCGTGTGGTTGAGAAAGTGCTCTATTAGAGTTGTTCGAGTGAAGTTTCAGCCTTCGAGGTAGGTTTGACTATCCTCTTTTGGACTGAGATGAGTAAGTAATTTTTCTTAGATAGTCAACTGTGAAATGGATTGTAGTATGAGTTTTACAGGTTGGTAAACATTGACCTTCTTGTTTAGTCCGTGCGATGCCTATTTGTGATGCTTAGTCTGTGTAGAGGCTTGTGTGATACCTTTCATTGTTGCTAAAAAATTGATATATGTTAGTAATTACCCGGCAAAGGGCTGCGTGACTTATCTTTATATTTGACTTTGAGATGCCCAAGTTAGGGGCTTGAGTTAATATTTTATCATTTTAAAATGAAAGAAATGCTTTCTAAGTGGTAAAGACTGGTTTCAAATGGATTCCTCCACTATCCCTATCATTTGAGGACGTGTTTCATGACTTGTTGAGTTTGAGAACTTTATTTTATTCAAAATTCTTGATGAATTGATTATGTCTTTGTGTTGTATGTGTTGTGATGCACTCATTCTCATTCAGCATATCAATGTTCATGGGAATATGAGAAAGTGGAGAAATACTATTTCTGAGAAAGAAAATGAGACATCTTACTTTTATCCTTGATCACGAGCTAAGTGGCAAGTTGATGAGATATTGAGATTGGTATATCGAATGCGATTCCCCCATATGTCCATGTCCGAAAGCTAAAGCTCGGCAAGGTATATACGATGACCTTGGTTCCACCACATCATTCATTGCATTGCATTGGCCAGCTTTGTTGTGTTGTGTGACTTGTTTATCTATATCCTTTTGTGTTTACTTTATTCATGCCATTATTATATAAATTGGCAGCACCGATGCCATAATGAGACTTTTCTACGTGCAGGTGGAAGCGTACGTTTCATAGTTTATTTCTTAAGTTTGATTAGTTGTTTATGCTCAGTCGGTCTAGCCTACTAAGTACATGTGGATTGTACCCACCCCTACTTTATCATTTTGATGCAGATCCTAGTCAGGGTGATCTTTGTAGCGGTTGATTGGATCTAGCGATATCTTCTCTTTCAGAGTTGTGGTGAGATCCTGCTTTTCAGATCGCCATTGGTCTCTATCTATCATTTACAGTCTTTAATTTCTTTTCGAAGACTTGAGATGTATTCCAAGTTTTAGAAATGTATTAGATGCTCTTTATACTATACTACCAGGCTTGAGAACTTCTTTGTTGTTTTCTTATCGGTTGTGGCCTGACTTCCCCTTGAAAGTCTCGTATGTGTTATTTCATTCGACTTACACACCTATTATGGGGTTTTCGGGTGTGTGTCATCATGACCTCGACTTTTGAGTCGTGACATCTCCATTCTTACAATGAGTTTATTAGATTTATTATTTATTTTTAACAAATTGATAATTGAAGTTTATTCTTTATAATAGATGAATTTTATGTTTAACATTTAAGCTTATTAGGTGTAGATTTTGGTGTTAAATCGTATATGGGTTGTTGAAATTAGAAGAATATTTTTTTTTCATGTAAAACTCTAGTAAAAAAAATGTCCGAAATTTGGCTTCGACATGTCTACAACTTTAGTGATAAAATTTTCTGAAATTAGTCTTGGCAAACCATACCAAATTTCAGGCAAAAGTATCTGATGTTTGATCTTTACAAAGCCACACATTAGACAAAAATATTTAAAATTAAACGCAAATTTTCAACTTCTATCGTGTATAATATATATATTAAAAAAACAGACACAAGTTAAATGACGAAAAAAAAGAGGAAGCATTTGTCCACTTAGCACTTTTTAGGTAAATGAGAATGACAACCCAAACACATTGTCAGACCTGGTAAGAAATAATTTATTTAGGAAAAATGTGACCAACCAATAAAAGAACAATCATAAATTAATTCTCCATGCAGTATATACTAACCAATAATTAATCAAGTGAATTTTGTTTTGTTGAGAAGTCAATTAGTGCATGGTTAAGCTATTCTGATAAAGGAAACTGACCTGCCAACCACATGCTATGTTATTAATGATGTATATAATGAATCATTAATGATAATGTAAATTTTTTTATAGCTTAGGTATAATTTAAACCGTTACTATTTCCTCAAATCATGTATAATATCATTACAAAATATTTATATATTGTCATGATTCATTGAGGTTTAATTCGTTACATTTACGTATTTTTAATTACTTTTTAAAATAATATAATTATATAAGTGTTTTTCACATTATCAATACATAAAAGTTAAAGACTCATAATGATAAGTACTTGAAGAATATGAGAACATAAGCAAAAGCAAAGGTTGTCCCTTTTCTTTCAATTAAATTAAGGTATTTAGCTAAAGAGCCTTTTTTTTTTGCTCAACCCTTGTTGCATACTTTGCTTTGGCCTCAATTAAAATTCACACACACACACAATGGCTCCTTTTCTTAATATCCATCATGATATCTTTCTGAATTTTTCCTCTAATTAATAAAATATTCTAGATAATTTTATTAGATTTTTAGTCATATATATTCTCGATGTATATATTGCATGTATTAGATTATCTGATTTATTATTCAAGTTAGTATAATTTCGTATATTCTAAAGAGTTACATAGATGGAGCTACGTATAATATTAGGTACATGTTTGAACGAATTCAATAGCTTTTACTTCAAATTCTCAAACATGAAAAAATGAATTCATAAACTTTAAATTTTGTCTTCGCCTTTGGATAGTGTATATAGTTCGAAATTCTTAAATATTTTTACATGACCAGTCAGTATATAGAGGTTAAACTCTTTTTTTTTTTTCAATTAGAAAATTACTCAATTGTTGGACCACTTGGACCTACCCTATTGATGTATTACTGAAAGAAATAACTACACTACATGACTCAAGGATATGACAATGTCTTGTACCTATAATTATAAGACATGACTCAAAATAACCACTCTCACTAGTACTAGTAATGAAAGCACTAATCTTCTAAAGTTCTCAAAAACCAATAAACCTTGTTTTTTTTTTTTGGGAATCTTTTTTATTACTCAAAAAAATAAATTGTACTTGTAGTGTATTAATTACTCTTCACTTGGTCTTCATGATATTTTGATTCAATTTATTGTCCCTCTTCTACTCTCAAGCCAGCCCCTACTGCACCCTTTCTAATTCCTTAGCTTGTAGCTCCACTTCACATATACTGTGATTTCATTTCCTTCCATTTAATGATCAATATCTCTAGTGACATGTATATATAATTGGAGTTCACTTGTTATGTTGAAAAGTGTTATTAGGGTTTTGCAATAATTTTTCAGTAGAAGGAAAGTCAAAGTATTACCATAAATGCTTTTACTTATCTGAAAAAGGAAAATATAAATATCTTCCAGCTTGAACTGAGGTCCAAACAAGAAAAGGAGAATGGAAGTAAGCAGCAATGCAGTTGAATGTTCAAAGATGGAAGAGTATGAAGTGATAGAACAGATTGGTAGAGGAGCTTTTGGAGCTGCATTTCTTGTTCATCACAAGTTTGAGAAAAAAAAGTACAATAATCTTCATTTCTTCTTCTCTGTTTTTTTTTTTTTGTGTGTGGTAATAATTTTTTCTTCTATATTAGAAATTAGAACTTTACTTCCTCCATCTCAATCTAAATGTCTTAATCTGACTATGTACGAAGTTAAGAAATGAAAGTTAAGGGAAAATTTTGACTATTGTGGTTTTTAATTAAAAGTGTATATAATCCTTTAAATCTTTTGATCTTAAACTTAGAATTGATAAGTTTACTTAATATATTGAAAAAAAAGTCAATCTTCTTAGGATAGATAAAAAATAAAAAATAAAAAAATAACACACTTAAATTAGAACAAAAGGAGGAGTAACATATTGCTAAATTCTGCTTCATTTTTCTTGGTTTGATTCTATCATGCCAAAGAAGGAACCGTTTGAATTGTGTAACCATTTCATTTGACTAAAAAATAAATGATAAAAAAATTATTTTTATTTTATTAATTCTATTTTAGAATATTATTCATGTGTGAATCTTTTTGTAAAACTACATTCTGTATATATGTTGTTTGTTTGTAATACTCATTGGTAGTATAAAGATTTTCTTTGTTTTGGTTTTTGATTTGTTTATAATAAATGAAAATGACTTATTGTTGTGAATGATGTTGAATTGTAGGTATGTAATGAAGAAGATTCGTTTGGCTAAACAGACAGACAAGTTCAAACGCACTGCCCATCAAGAGGTTAGTTATTTTAATTAAAGCTTAACCTTTGAGAGATCACACAAATTTATTAGTTAATTGTATTTTTAATACGTCTTTTATGTGTGGGCCTGAGCCAAGCCTGTGGAAGTTCTTTTTGACAGGGTTAACAGTGAAATTTAATTCCAGGACCTCTGACTTCTCTGATACTATGAGAAAGCACACTTTTATTAGTTAATCATATTTTCAACAGTTTCCGTTTTAAATTATTAATCCAAAACTTTTTGTTTAGTATAGGTAATAGAAAATGTTAGTATTACATTTAAATGAATCAGGTCCCAAAATGTAGATAAATTAGGAAGCTTCTCAATATTTCAGTGAGAATCTGTTTTCCACTATGCATTATCTTGCTGAGCTGGTTCAGTAGAAAATAAGTAGAAAAATCATGTTTTATAGCACACATTTCTTATTGAATCGTAATGAGAAAAACATTTATTTCTAGTTTATTTACGGCGTATAGATATTTTACAATGTAAGCATACACACAATTTAAATTAGGGAAAAGGGTTAAAAATATTCTTGAATTATTTAAAATAGGTTAAATTAACTCTTATTGTATTGTTGGCTTAGAAGGCACAGTTATAATGTTGGCTCAAAATATCCTTCGTTCTAACGGTTGTTTAAAAAAAAAGAGAATAACTTAATTTTGTCCTTAAACTATTTCAAATGGAAGAATTAGTTTTAAGAGTTTAAGTAAAATTTTATTTTGGAGATTATGCGATTAGTTTAATCATTTTAAATGTAATTTTTATACGATGTCAATTTTATGAAATAAAAGATTTCATTATATATTAATTTTTCAACTAAACATTTATTCTATTATTTCTTTTCAAAGCTATTATTATGGTCCTCAATTGAAATATGAAAGGACTACAGTGAAAACAAATAATAAAGCGTATCAAGATATTATTGAAATTGAACTTTTTTTAATCATATCATTTTTAAAGATAATAAGAAAAGGTAAATGACTTCATATTGAGGAATAATAACTCATATTAAATGTGCACAGAATCAGAAAAGAAGAAGTTATATGTCATCTCTTTTTATTTTTTAAAGTAAGAAGTGCTTATACTATTTATTTTCTTATCTTATTATATTTTTCACATTTAAC